GCCTTATGGCTAATGAGGGTATATACACTTTGATACGGTGAAAATGTGCCTCATCGAAATATTGGCGAAATATTGGCGAAATATTCGTTTGAGGAAATTTGGAGTCGATTTACACATGTCCGTCCGTTCGTTGTCCTGGCTGGAGCGCACGATAACTCTCGTAGGCAGCAACAGATTTCATTCAAACTTTGCACATTTTAATATTTCTAACAAACTTAGTTTCTGGTACCCCCCTCCACAAAATGGTCAAAATTGTGCTAAAAATTAATTGTATAATATCATACAAACGGACTATTCGATTTTAACGAAACTTTGTACAGCCTATTATCTTTACCAAGCCTATATAAAGTAGGAAGATGGGACCCATTGGTCCACTGCTTTTAGTACCTCCCCCACGAATGGTCAAAATTTTCGATATTTGTAAATCCAATATCAGGCGAATGGAATGTCCGATATGAACCAATCTTTGCACAGCCCATTATATTTACGAGGTCTAGATTAAGTTCAAAGATGAGACCCATTGGTCGACTCCTTCTGGTACCTCCTCCACGAATGGTCAAAATTTTCAATATTTATAAATGCAATATCAGACGAATGGAATGTCAGATTTGAACCGAACCTTCCACAATCTACTATATTTAGCAACCCCAGATCAAGTCCGAAGATGGGACCCTTTGGTCCACTCCTTCTGGTACCACTCCCACGAATGGTCAATATTTTATAAAATATTATCAACATTAAATCCGTGACCTCTTCGATAAAAAAAAAAACATATTTCTTATATAAAGCGAATAATAAAATCTGTGTGTAATTCCTCCGCAAACCATAGACTGGGGGTATATATCTGTCGTCAACACCGACTGACATTTTTTTACTTGTTTTATATTTGAGTTGAGTTGGCTAATGTTGTTCACCTCCAACCGTGTACCATAATTTCTACCATGGCAGTTCCATGCAGTCATATGTTTCCAATTTTTTCATAAATTTGCTTTTGACAAAAGCAAACGAAAATATCTTCCTTCGAAATGTACGCACGTGTTATGTACGGTGGGAAAAGAGTTTGAATCTTTTATATTTATTAATATTTTTAAGTTCCATGCCTATAAAACCTATAAATATAAATTGCAACATTCTTAGGTAAATCTTGAGAACAATGTGGTGCTTTAGAAAAAATATATTTTTTTTAATTTGTTGAGAATATTTTTCATTTTATTTGAAATTGATATATGAATTCCATATTAAGAAGGCTTGACATTATCAATTTCTGAAATGAGTCTACCTTGTATAGTTATGCCATGATGTCTACCTAGTATTATTGTACCATGTAACAATATGTTTTAAAGTTTGTATCAAATCGAATATTGCGTTCACTAATACTTTTTTTATACTAAATGTTGACCATTTTTGTGGAACATACACAATGAATGAGTGGCCCAATATTTAAAATTTAAAACTTGGTGTGAATTTCGTACTTCATTTCGTATATTTTGAAATAATATTTATTATGTGTAAAGTTTGTATTAAATTGGTTACTACACCCTATCGAAAGTCGTTTCTAATTGGTCTGCAACGGATTTGCTCAAAACACACTTGGGATACAAACCCTTTTTTCTGATAAGACATATTTTAGTCGTAGTATTGAACAAAAGAAAAGAAAAACACCTATAATGATATTACTGTCATCCTCATATCCGTTCCGCAATAGCAAAACGCAGCATTAACACAAGTGCCCACTGTATGCTTACAACGAAAACAAAACAGCTGATGGCATTTCTCTATAAAGACTCTCATGTTGGTTAATAATAGCACACACAAAAACACGAATTGATGAGACATCGCTTAAACTCTCTAGCACACAAACTTTGCTTTGCCAAACAGATTTTTTTCTTTATTTTATTTTTGTACCAATATTGTGGCCTAAAAAGACGTTCGATTAGAAACTCTTTTTATCTATATATGCACCCACCTGTTTCAATTGCAAGTTTAGGTTTTTTCGCATTTCCTCCTCCAATTGGTTTGTTGTATACCAAATCGAATCGATATCGTCCGAATGTATGTAAATAGTTTTGTTTTCTTTTTCTCTTCACTTTTATGTTTTTCTACAAGCACTGAAAACTGAATTTTGAAATAAATAACTTTCGTCCACAATATGCCAAGCGCATTGGCATCTCAAAAGTTTGCTAGTTAGATTTTATTACATGGAGAAGAACTATTTTACATTGCTTCAAGATGATATCACGTAGAGTTTAGGGATACCATGGCACAATAAATGGATACTCCATCAAACGCAGCTGATTATTAAATTGGTTGTCATAGTTGCCAGATGAATTCTCCGTGCAACGTTGCCAAACATGATAAATGTTACAAGTTGTGTTCGTTTACTTTTCCTCACGAACGGCCTTTGAAAGACTCCTTGCACGATATCATCTTCAACGGCAATTACTGACGAATTTTACTTCATAAGTCATAATAAGAATTTCCAGAGAGCAATTGAACTTTTATAGTTAGAATTATACACATCCGTCGTGATATTTGTTATCGATAGTGCAACAACCACACGGGAACGATAACATCAACGCTTGAAGTTGATGTGCGTTGCACATCGGAATTAAATAATATCTTTTAAATCTAATCGCGCTCTAAAGCCACATAATTTCAACCGAAATGTCAAAATGCTTTCAATTTTGACAGAACGTTGGATTTTCAACCTTATTGCCGATATCGATTGCTTTTTAACACGGTCTGTTTAATGTCATGTACAGACGGGCGTTGTTCGATCTCTCAGTGGTTGTTCAAACCTGAACTATAAATAATTGTCTGTTCCCGTACTGCAAGAATCAACTACTTTTTACTATGATAACACTTTTTTCCTTTATGATATCGGAAAAAATAGTAAAAACTCGTAGATTCTTGCTGTACGGGAACAGACCAAATTTTTTTGTTCTCCATACAAAATTGTCAGAAATACGGTGTCGTATGAACATGAATTATTACGTAAATAGCTAATGGTGTTTTTACACGATATGTATTTTACATATGTGCTGTCACTTATTTCATCCATATGTAATTCCTTATGTGTGTCAAAATTAGCGGCGTACACAAAACATTTATTTTTGTGTTCAAATCGACATATGTATTTTACATATGACATAACCTATAAACAAAAAAATTTCCTTTATTATTTCTTAAATCAACATCTTTTTTTATTAAACACCTACAAACGAAATAATAATTTGTAATTGTTGCCTTTTCATCCTTTTCTTTGACTTGCAATTGAAATATTTTCTTCCAACCATGTGTTTCATTCAAACAGCTGATTTTCTTATGTTTCACATACGAAAATAGAGCGCGTCCTATTCGGAAAAAATACATATGTAATTGCATATCGTTTTGACACATTGAAATTTCCGTATGTTTCACATGACGAGTTCGATTTCCATATGCAAAAAAGTGACAGCACATATCATGGCCTATAAATAAGGTCACCAAGATAGCAATCGAAATCGGAAAACAGCTGTTTTTTCTCAAATCTAATGTCAAAAATTTACACTTTGTTTACGTTTTCATAATGGAAGTCAATTCACAATAATGCATTTTGACAGCAAACGTGAGAGGTATCGATTATCAGCTGGTCTCCCTTGGTGACCTTATTTATAGGCCATGGCACATATGTAAAATACATATCGTGTAAAAACACCATAAGCAGAATGTTGGCGTTGAGCCATCCGTCGCGTTATGTGTTGTCGAAAATACAAGAACCACAAGGAAACGCAAACGCTCGTCGTAAAAACGACAACAAAATTGACATTATGGGGCATTCTCAACCAAAATTGTCTACACGACTCGTTTAATGGGCTTTGGACATCTCTAGTTATTTATTTTTCACAATATTTGATATATGGTATGTTCTTGTACTGCAAGAATATACTAATTTTTACCATTTCCTTCGATATCGTAAATCAAAAATACATCCTTACATCTACATTTATGGTCAAACGTTATTGTTACCTGCACTGATTTTTTGTTAACCATTTATTTATTTTTCACACTGTTTTACATGGTATAATAATAGAAGGTAACAGCAAGTGTTGTTGTACAAAAAACGATACAACAACCACATGTAAATTTGTTGTTGTAAGTTCTATTAGTGTCAACTCATTTGACAGAAAAATGTAAACAAACAAATAAATTATCATCAAATTATTTTTATTTTAAAAATGAAATATTTTCGAATCCTCAAAATAAAAATTGAAAAACATGAATGAAAATCTATCAAATTTATATTTCTATCGCTTCCACATCTTTCCTATAATTGAGCCATTGCCATATATATGTGTAACACATATGAAAATGCTGGGAATAGCGAGTTATTCCTTCATGAAAGATTTGCTTCCTCAAACTTTCCCAGCAGGCAGATTGAGTAAATAGAATACGTGAGCACATTTAATAAAGAACAATTTCAAATTGTATCCGTTCCCAATTTTCCTGTTGGGTGATTTTTAAAAACATGATTTGTCAAATTCATATTGACACTAGTATTACGTTGGAATCAAATCAGCTGGGATTTGCTGTTACCTTTTATAATTGTACCATGACTGTTTTATATAATTTTCTTAAATTGTTATGGTACGTTTACATTTAACCGGATTTCGTTAACCCAGTGGGTTTCAATTGTCAATTCCTTTGCATATATGTCAAATAAATCATCATAAAGTAGATTAGCCCGGTGAAAAGTTCTAATGTATATGCCGTTTTACACATTTTTTTAACTTGAAATATTATTTTACATACTTTTGATAGCCAACTACATTTTTTATTTCTTACTGGATGACCTTTCTGAAAAGTATCCGCCAATCGATTTATTTATTTTGTTTTTTTTTTTCCGATCAAATTAATTTAATCGATTTTACGAATAATATCGTAGCGTAAATCAGCTGTCTTTTATTTTGAGTGATTTCAGTAACTGCACACCAAACACAACATCACACGCTCGCATCAACATGAAAGAAAAACGTGCGTTTCCAACGAAAAAGTCAAAGCCCATTTCTCAACGAGATTTATTGGACAGCGAAATTCAGAATTTAAAATCCCAATACGATGAGCTGTCTTCGAAGGATGTTGCGTCTATTAAACGCTTCAGTGAATTCCCACTTTCTAAAAAGACGCTAAAGGGATTGAACGATGCTAAGTTTATGGAGCCCACCGAGATTCAACGTTTGAGCATTGGACCAGCACTTCAAGGAAGAGATGTTTTGGGAGCAGCTATAACGGGGAGTGGCAAAACGTTGGCATTTTTAATACCGGTAAGTTTTTTGAGAAAGTATTTTGCATAGTTTTTGTTTTAAAATATATGTTCAACAGGTGCTGGAACATTTGTATATGGCAAAATGGAGTCGAACGGATGGAGTAGCTGCAATCATCATTTCACCAACTCGAGAGTTAGCTTATCAAATTTTCGAAACATTAAAGAAGGTGGGAAAACATCATGACTTTTCGGCTGGCTTGATTATAGGTGGTAAAAACTTGAAATTCGAACGATCACGAATGGATCAATGTAACATCCTAATCTGCACTCCGGGGCGTTTGCTACAGCACATGGACGAAAATCCCTTGTTTAATGCATCCACTATGGAAGTTTTGGTTTTGGATGAAGCGGATAGGTGCCTTGATATGGGCTTTGAACAAACACTGAATGCAATAATTGAGAATTTTCCACCAGATCGCCAAACGTTACTTTTCTCCGCCACACAAACGAGCTCCGTAAAAGACTTGGCGCGTCTTAATCTTAAAAATCCTGTCTATGTAGGTCAGCCGCAAGCAAAACAAGAAGGCCAAAGTGTTGTCCCAAAAGTTGTGCCAGATCTGCTGCAACAGAACTATGTCGTTGTCGCTCTGGAAGACAAAATCACGATGCTGTGGTCGTTCATTAAGAACCATTTGAAGCAGAAAATTATTGTATTTCTCTCGAGTTGTAAGCAAGTTAAGTACATATTTGAGATTTTTTGTAAACTGAGGCCGGGTACCAGCTTGCTTGCTTTATATGGTACGCTACACCAGGACCGCAGAATTGCCATATACAATGATTTTGTAAAGAAAAGCAATGTGGTTTTGTTTGCCACAGATATAGCTTCACGTGGATTGGACTTCCCCTCTGTCAATTGGGTGGTACAACTCGACTGCCCAGAAGATGTTACCCAGTATATACATCGAGCCGGTCGATCGGCTCGCAACAAAACTCGTGGCGAATCGCTTCTAGTACTTCTGCCATCAGAGGAGGAAGGTATGATTGAGGAGCTCGGCAAAAAATCAATTTCAGTACGTAAGATTTTAATCGATCCCAAAAAGTTGTTCTCTCCTCGGGCGAAAATAGAGGCATACTTAGCTCAGAATCCAGAATTGAAAGCTTCAGCGCAACGTGCATTTGTGGCGTACATCAAATCTGTATTCCTAATGAAAAATAAGAAAGTATTTAATGTTATGTCACTGGATTTCGACGCATATGCCAAGTCATTGGGTCTAGTTGTAACACCTCGCGTGCGTTTCTTGGATCGTTACTTGAAGAAACAGAGTAAGACAAACAAAGGCGGAACTCAAAGTGATTCGGATACTGATGATGAAGAAAAGTCCACAAATGTATCCAAACCTTCCAATGACATATTGTTCAAGGCCCCCGAAAGTGATTCAGATTCGGACGACGACGATTTTATTAAAATTAAAAGAGCTAATCACGACATTAAAGGCGATAACCAGCACCCAGTTAATGGTAATGATGACGATGAGGAGGATCTACCACCACCCGTTTTAAGGAAGAAAGATAAACTTATTACCAAAGCTGCTTTGGCGAAGAAAGCTCTTAAGAAAAATCTTAAAGTCAACGAAAAGGTTAAATTCGATGAAGAAGGCCATGAAATTGTTGATCCCCGAAAACAGTTGCAATCCGAACTGGCTAAAGAATATGAAAGTAAATTGGGCGAAATGGGTGGTATTGACATTGAAATGGCCAAACAGCTACTACAAGAAGAGGATAAGTTTGACAAACAACGTTTCCGTTCACTTGTCAAACAAAAACATAAAAAACTCAAGGAGAAGCTTAAAAAGAAGGACGAAGAACAACAAGGATCTGAGACAGATGAAGACGAAGGTGTGGACTATGATGACGGTGGTGATGAGAGTGATAATTCTGTAGATTTATCCTGGCTGCCAGATCCTTCCAAAGTCTACAAAAACAAAGATGACGACGAATCTGATGTGCACGACGAATCGCCTACAGAACAAACAAACGTCTCCAGGAAACATAGACATAATAGTGATCCTAGCGAAGATGCCGAAGAAAGTGATGAAGACTTCGCCGAACCAGTCAAGAAGAAATCCAATGTTACGTCAAAACTTACTCTTGATGATGCTGAAATAATAGCAGCACAATTGTTAGCCAACTCTTAATGATTTGTATAGTTTTTTGCGTAATAAAAAAAACTATTTTTAATTAAATATAGACCGAATTTCAATTAATCATTCTGTACTTTTGGGTTACAAATCTTTAATATGTGAATAAATTTGGAAATTTCCCGAAATTTCCAAAATCAATGGACGCAGATTTAAATTTACTCTAATCAAAAAAATTGTGCGTTTTATAGGTAAACGAAGATTTTGAGATGGAAATATTGGTCAGAAGAAATATAAGATTAACATACCATCATCTTTCAATACAATTTCATATCTAAAATTTATTACAATGTTTAATTCTATCCATTCTATATATATATATATATATCGAGCCATATTCGCTAAAAAACGTAACCCTCAATTTGAAATTTTACAGGAGAAGGTTTTGTTTTAATAAATTCAGATTTAATAAAGCTATTATTTTGAAATTTAGAATATATGTATATATATATATATATATAAGCGTAAAACATGCTCACAAATATTCCTGCTAACAAACAGGAGAAATAGCTCTGATTAAAAGGGATACACAATAAAATAAAAACGGTTAGGTATTTTGAGAGTCTTACTCAATCGAGATGAACATTTTCTGTAAATATGTTTACATAAATGTATGTATGCGTGATCTACCTCTATATTTAAACCTCAAGTCATACTAAAATTTGCATTTAAAATCGGTCGAAATTATAAAGCTTATTAAAAGCAAACTTAACAGTGAACACATGAAATTTTTGGGACGTCGGACGACTTTAAAAAGCTGTGGAAAGAGAATGGTACATACACCCAGATAAACAATACGATATTATATATTCGGTTGAGAGTGTAGCTTTCGAAATAACAAAAATTATAAAAGATAGCTGGGTGTCCTCATTTTTTAAAATTTATTCTGAATTTTACAATTAAAAGTAAAGCCATTCCTTAGATAAAAACTTCGGAAACAAAGCTCGACTCCAAAAGGAAAAACTGACTTTAACATCGTACAACCGAAAATTATTTTCCAAAAAATAGACTTTTAACATATCCCTTCCTTTTGGTACGCGAATTATTTTGCAGGGGAAAGCATTAGTTCGAAAAAAAATCATTTATTGTCATTGTTCCTGTTGTTTCAAATAAAAACTCGAGCAGCAAGTAATAAAAAATTAAACACTTCATTTTTGTTTTCATTTTTACAACTAACATGAATTTATCTGTATTTGGATTTGTATTCATTTACATATATAACATGTAAAAAATAGAAATAACCATTAAAACATATTTTAATTATTAATATTTAAATGTTAAAATTAAAGATTAAATTAGAAATAGTTGTACTACGTACAAATTATTACAAGATACAAAGAGGTGAGGGAGTAACGCTAGGTAATTTACATCATACCACCCATACCGCCCATGCCTCCCATACCGCCCATACCACCCATGCCGCCCATACCAGCAGGAGCATCTTCTTTGGGCAATTCAGTGACAACAGCTTCAGCGGTGGTCAAAAGGGAAGCTACACCAGAGGCATCTGTGATGGCGGTACGCACAACCTGAAAAATTAAAAAAAAAGTGTGAATTTAAAATATATGTTCCAAAGTGTTTTGTGTTAGAAGCAACATACCTTTGTTGGATCGATGATACCCTTCTCAATCAAGTTACCATATTCACCCTTCAAGGCGTCATAACCAAAGTCACCTTCTTGGCTTTCTACCTTAGCGACAACCATAGCAGCATCTACACCAGCATTCTTGGCAATTGTCATGCATGGCATACGCAAGGCGCTGCGGACGATTTGAATGCCCATGTTTTGATCTTCGTTTTGTCCCTTAAGGCCTTCCAATTTGGCAATGCAACGCAAGAGAGCAGTGCCACCACCGGGAACAATACCTTCTTCAACAGCGGCTCTGGTAGCGTTCAAGGCATCATGTACACGGTCCTTCTTCTCGTTGACTTCAACTTCGCTGGAACCACCAACGCGCAACAAGGCGACACCGGAGGCCAAACGAGCCAAACGTTCTTGCAATTTTTCTTTCTCGTATTCTGAAGTAGTTTCGGCAATTTGATCCTTGATTTGTTCGACACGGCGGTCGACGTCTTCCTTCTTGCCCTTACCCTTCAACAACAAGGTGTCATCCTTAGTGATTACCACTTCGCCAACCTTGCCCAAATCAGCAATGGTGACATCTTCCAATTTAACCAAGTTGGCGTCATCACCGAAGACAATACCGCCGGAGGCAATGGCCATATCGGTGAGGGTGGATTTTCTGTTGTCACCAAAGCCAGGGGCCTTGACAGCAGCTACTTGGAGACCGATCTTCAAGCGGTTAACAACCAATGTGCTCAAGGCTTCACCGTCAATGTCTTCAGCAATGATAACCAATGGTTTGCGTTGTTGGTTGGCCAATTCGAGGGCGGGGATAATGCTTTGGACAGATGAGATTTTCTTTTCGGACAACAAAACCAAGGCATCTTGGAATTCAACTTTAGCTCCCTTAGATGAGTTGATGAAGTAGGGTGAAATGTAACCTCTGTCGAACTTCATACCTTCGATGACTTCCAATTCATCGGTCAAGGTCTTGCCATCCTTGACAGTGATGACACCATCGCGACCAACCTTCTTCATGGCCTCGCTGATCAAATTACCAATAGCTTTGTCACCGTTAGCAGAGATGGTAGCGACTTGGGCAATTTCTTCGGGTGTGCTGACTGGACGAGACATGGCCTTCAAGTTATCCTTGACAGTTTCAACGGCCATCATAACACCACGACGGATTTCAACGGGGTTGGCACCCTTGGAGATCTTCTCGAAACCTTCCTTGGCAATAGCACGAGCCAAAACTGTGGCAGTGGTGGTACCATCACCAGCTTCTTCATTTGTGTTGTTGGCAACATCCTGTACCAATTTAGCACCAATGTTTTGGAATTTGTCTTTCAATTCAATCGATTTTGCAACGGTGACACCATCCTTGGTGATCTTGGGAGAACCCCAGGATTGCTCAATGATGACATTGCGGCCCTTGGGACCCATTGTAACGGCGACAGCGTCGGCAAGAACATCCACACCTTGCAACATCAAGGCACGGACTTCAGGGCCGAATTTGACATCTTTAGCATAGCCGCGAACAGCCAATTGGCGGGCAATGTTTGAGCGGGCTAGAGTTACGGGCAAACGGAACATCTACAAATAAAACATATGGTAAGTAAAGGATCATAACGTCGAATTATTTGTATATAATGGCCTTAATAGGGGAAGTATACATATATGTTCACCGTCAGTGGAAATCTGGAACATTCGAGACAGACCGCATTATCTAAAAATATGTGCTTATCTATAAACATATTGTACATAACGTATTTTTGGACTAATATGCAGGCGACCTACCCTAATATTATCCCACAGTCATTGTGAATATAATAAATATTTTGGCGAGAAAATCTAAACTTATCTATCATATTTGCCTCAAAGCACTGATACTGATTATTATTGTTACCGTGTCAATTAAATTTTCATTCACAGTATCTCGTCATGTGGATCCCTAAATTAATAGAACATGTGTTATCTGATAATGCCGAGAACAGGGGGCAATGTCGAATCGTGTAAATGAAGAACATATTTTGTAATACCGATCCCGCAGAATAATAGCTTAGAAAGATAACAAAAGACAGTCAATTTTAATTATGCTCCCAACTTCTTTGATAGGCCCATTGAAAAATCCAAAAGTTTATATAATTCATTTAATATTGATTGGTACAACACTACTCTACTAAAAGTACCATACGCGCACACACACTCATACACGCTGACACATGCACACATTTCGCCGGGCTTTATTATTTGTGCTATTCACACTGTGTACTAATGGAATCCAGTAGAAACGTTTACATAATCATCGGAGACACAAGAAGTTTACGTCGGGCCTTTAGGTATTAGGATGACTTCAGGCAGACCCGCATGTACAACAGAATAAAAGGTGATGAAATTCCTCGTAATACACACTGAAATGCATGACCGGCTTTTTTTGAATCTATTCAAATTACTTTCATTTTCTATCGGAAGTTGAAAATTCTATTGTCCGTTTTTTAATACAAATTTTCATTTATCAATAATTGAAAACCCACAGCATACTGAGGTCCAATAGGGCCATGAACTTTCTAGAACTCGGCACATTCTCAAGTTTTATGACACAAACTCCTTGGAAAATCTTATGTAATCATAATCGGCGTTAGTATTTTCTAGTAATGTTGACATTTTACTCACTTTTTTGTTTTTATCAGAGCAATGCAATCGACACAGAAAAAGTTTTAATTCAGTTTTTTTTATTGCAAATTACTTTTTGCAAATGTGTTGAACACGGCGCTGCAACACTCGGTGTAAAAACGTGCACTTGTATTTAACCACGCAACGAATGTGAAAGACGGCGACTGCCTTTTGCTTTTGAAAGACGAGAACAATCTAACCACATCGATCTCGCAAGAAGTTTTTAAAACCCGATAACAGAAAACAAAGCCAGATATGTAATCGTAACGGCGGAAAAACTGGACGGCTGATGTTAACCTAAATGAGTTAAGTGGAACGTAATGGAAAGCGTACGAAAGCACATCATGTTTAAACAGGCCAGCATTGTTTCTGTATTGTTTGTCAAAACCCAAAGGAAAAAACGAAGATTATTGATGGTTATAGAACAGGGTAATCTATTTTTCGTCTTGGTATTAATTTTCTATTACGACGTTATCCGACGAGGCGTACAATAATATTCAACTTCCCCGCCTATATGCGTCGATTCAATATATATTGCAACAAAATTTAAAAATTATAATATTTACCAAAATATTTTATATTCTCATTTCATAGTTGAATTTGTTCAACATTGAAAAGTTGTACGTCGGCATATTTCGGCATCATTCATATAAAAACATGAGTTATACTTTTGTGGTATAAAACGTCGAACAGCTAGTTAAATTTTAGGTAGGGCTGTTATGTGTCTACCATGGTACAATTATACAAGGTAGGGCAGGTTTTGTCAGAAATGAGAAAATACACCTCTACCTTACGGGCAATAATGTCAGAATAAATGAAAACAAATACAGCAAGTCCTTCTGTTCATTTGATATATTTTCAAATTTTTGCCAAAAACGACCCAGTAGTTCGAGTAACTGGTGATGAACTAGATATTTTACTAATTACCTGTAAGTACCACTAGTTACCACTTCATGCCCTAGACTGGTGAATTTAACATGTGTATGTCATTGGGGAAGTCAATTGTCCCCTGCCTGCGTTACCAGTATACAGACATTTCGATAGTCGATTCATTACCCATTGCATTACCAGTAACTACTGAATTGGTATGATGTGTGTAAATAGCTTTTTCAATTGACAAAAAAATCCAACAGTCTATTTTGTGTTCCTTTTTGGGGTATGAAGTAACTAGATCACCAAGTAACTAGCTATATAACTATATAATAGCAGACAATTGATATTTTTTGTACAACTGGGGAGAAAAATTAATAGAATTTCCTTTCAAAATCGGGTTGGGGATATGATTTACATAATGATTCATTTACAAATCATGCATTTCTTTTTACAAATGTTCTAAAATTCATCTTCAAACAAATTTCGAATATATTTTATTATATTTTTCAAAACATTACACACACAGTCACACATTTTGTATATGACTTTGGCATAACAAGCCACAGTATGAAAAAACTGTAATTTTTAGGTTGCTATGGCTTACCTTACATAATTGTACCCATGGTATAATTATTACAAGGTAGGGCACAGCTACCAACTGATTACAATTTTTTCTCAAGGTGGCTTGTTCCCAGCGTGACCGCTGAAAATTTTCAAAAAGTATCACAAAAAGTATCATTTTTTAAAAAAAAGTAGCACATAACTTCTGAAAAAGTGTCACAAAAAGTGGCACACTTCTTACTTTTTACTTAATAAAAAACTATATAAAACATTACAAATAATTCATTTATGTGTATTTTATTATACAGTAAACTGAAAAAACTAAACTAAAATCAATTTGTGTATATAATTAGCCTGTTCCCATTCTGCAAGAATCTACTAGGTTTTACTAGTATACCCTACTCAACATAGTACAATTATACAAGGTAACTGCAAAACTACAACAAATACAATTCAACAACAACTACATAGAAAATTGTTATTATATATGTTAAACTAGTGTAAGTCTGATATGTCGAAAAATTTAAAGAAAAATACAAAATATCAATAAATTTTATTTATTTTCAAATAGTATTTTTTTTAATTTTTGAATAACATTGAAAAACATAAATGAAAATCTTGCAAGTTTATAATTCTTAAGCTTTCAGATCTTTCCTTTAATTGATTGCCACAAAAACGCTAATAACAGCTTTGAAAAGATGAATTTTTCACTGCAAAGGGATTTGCTGTCTCAATTTTTTCCCATTAGGAAATTGAAGTAAATCGTGAACCAAAGGGCAACGAACTTCTGTTGGTATTTCTTTGATTTGATTAACACTAGAAAGACTGGAATTTTGTATATACCTACATTGCCTAAAATCGGTCAAAATGACCTCATTCTGGAAGAATTTTTATTGTGTAAAGAAATTTTTTTTAACTTATTTTTTAATATTTTTTACATTATTTACAATCATACAAAATGTTGTTATTATTTGTTTTCGGTGGGAGGGCTTTCGAGTTTCCCTTTTTAAAAAATAAGAGCGCGGACAAAATGTCAAAAAAAAGAGTAAGTCTTTACTCTAAGAGTGAAATCGACTGGAAATATAAAATTTATTTTTTCCGATTTGTGTGTGTTCACGTAGCGGACATCGTTTTTAAATAATAAAGATAGTGAATGTCTTGCTGTGGGTCTCTTGTGTAAAAGAGAGAACATTTAGTTAAACAGGGATCTATTTTTGTCTACAGTCCACTTAAGATAAGAGATTATTTTGGTTGAATATTTGTACACAATAATAAGATAGGAGTTTTCTATTGCCACATGTGGTATGTTTGGGTGAGATTACGGGGAGTAATCTTCACTACAGACTGATAAGCATGTGTAGCGTGCTTGCCACATGTGAGATAAAGAATTGTGTGTGTCCACTCCATGGGTTATGGTAGATGCTCTCTCTCTCTTTTACACATTAGTCTAAGATAGGTTAAGTCATATAGTACAACTTAGTTCTTAAGGATTACTTTCTATATTAATAAATTAGTGTGTAAATGCACCACAAACAATACAGAAGTGCTTTCACTCCGCGGACCATATGCGCGTAATCTAGATCAGATCCCTAGTTTTTCATTGGTCCTTCGAGCCGGATCAGTGACCGATTGTGGAGGAAATTGATGCTGAAGAATTTGCCTTAAAGGTCAAGGAAATTCTCTCAGCTTGGAGGAAATCCAAATAGACAAATAATAAAATAAAAAATAATCAAAAGGAGACTGCGGCAAGGAACAAGGCGGTGAATACGAGACAGCATTTCCGTAGCAGAGAAGAAGAAGGAGATGCAGTGGAAGTACGAGGCAGTACATTGCAAACATTCAAAATGCTGAGTCAAAAGGAGACTGCGGCAAGGAACAAGGCGGTGACATTTAGCCATCGAAGCTTCGATGCTGAGCATAGCGGCTGCAGATGAAGATAAACTAGGCAGAGCCTCGGCACCGACCCTGGAGTGGGAGATAAACAATCTTTTTTTTTATTTTCGATCGTTCCCACGCCACTCTTACCCGCCCCTGCCGACCGAGGGGGCCTCCTCCGCATAACGTAGGGAGAACGTACACCCCATAATCCGGATTATGGAGGGTTAGTAATGTTGGGAAACACCGGCTACAGTAAACATCAGCCGGTTAAACAGTTTAAAGTTAATTAATTAAACACAATAATAAAGACAAACACAAAACATAAACATCTGGCAACTGCTTGCACTCTACAGTTCTAAATTTAGAATAGAATTTTTAATTACATGTATTGGATCAGATAAAGAGATGCGATTATACAGGTTGTTATATATTTCACATAGTGATCTAAAGGGATTACATAACTCATAATTAGATCTCACTAAAGGAAGATAAAGCGGTATATAATTACGAGTAAGACGTGAAGGTACATTAAACTTGATTTCACCGATTAAAAATTTCGAGTCAATTTGACCGCGTAAAAGTTTTATTAAAAATATAGATCTTAGCAT